CTTCCCTTTATTTCACATTTATGCATTTTTGTCAATTTGGTTTTCCTATCTGTCATCAGAAGAAAATGTTTTAGATGTGTCCTGATAGTTACTTTAGCATTAAATAGAGCAGTTTAAAGGGTCTGCTTAGGAAGAAACATCTATATTGCTTAAATTGATGTCAAATGGCATGCCATAAAATGAAAATAGGGAAGGAATATGCCATATATTTTCCACATTATAGCAAATACACTAAATGTAACCCTAGAATCATATGATTAATCATAGAACCATAGAGCTCGAAGAGACCTCAGAAGGCCATCAAGTCCAGCCCCCTGCTCTAGGCAGGACCAATCCCAATTAAATCAACCCAGCCAGGACTTCGTCAAGCTGAGACTTAAAGACCTCTAGGGATGGAGACTCCACTACTTCCCTACGTAATCCATTCCAGTGCTTCACCACCCTCCCAGTGAAATAGTTTTTCCTAATATCCAACCTGGACCTCTCCCATCACAACTTGAGACCATTGTTCCTTTTCTGCCATCCATCACTACTGTGAACAGCCTTTCTCCAGCCTGTTTGGACCTCCCTTAAGGAAGTTGAAGGCTGCTATCAAATCCCCCCCTCACTCTTCTCTTCTGCAGGCTAAAGAGACCCAACTCCCTCAGCCGCTCCTCATAGGTCATATGCTCCAGCCCCCTAATCATTTTGGTTGCCCTCCGCTGGACCCTCTCCAATGCATCCACATCCTTCCTGTAATTGGGGGCCCAGAATTGGACACGGTACTCCAGATGTGGCCTCACGAGAGCTGAATAAAGAGGAATAATCACATCTCTGAATCTACTGGCAATACTTCTCCTAATGCACCCTAATATGCCATTAGTCTTCTTGGCTACAGGGGCACACTGTTGACTCATGTCCAACTTCTCATCCACTGTAATACCCAGGTCCTTTTCTGCAGAACTGCTACTGAGCCATTCAGTCCCCAGCCTGTAACAGTGCTTGGGATTCTTCCATCCCAAGTGCAGGACTCTACACTTGTCCTTGTTGAACCGTATCACATTTCTTGTGGCCCAATCCTCCAATTTGTCTGAGTCACTCTGAACTCTATCCCTGCCCTCCAGCGTCTCTACCTCTCCCCCTAGCTTAGTGTAATGCGTAAACTTGCTAAGGGTGCAATCCATCCCCTCATCCAGGTCATTAATAAAGATGCTGAACAAAACTGGTCCCAGAACCGAACCTTGGGGGACTCCGCTAGAAACCGACCCCCATCCTGACATCGAGCCCAACCTTCCAGCCAGCTTTCTCTCCATCTATCCAGTCCACATTCCCGTATCTTGCTGGTAAGAATATTGTGCGAGACTGTATCAAAAGCCTTGCTCAAGTCAAGGTATATCACATCCACTGACTTTCCCACGTCCACAGAGCCAGTTACCTCATCATAGAAGCTAATCAAATTTCTCAGGCATGACTTGCCCTTCGTGAATCCATGGTGACTATTCCTTCCCCTCTTCCAAGTGCTTCAAAGTGGATTCCTTGAGGATCCCCTCTGTGATTTTTCCAGGGACTCAGGTAAGACTGACTGGCCTATAGTTCCCTGGATCGTCCTTCTTCCCTTTCTTAAAGATGAGCACGACATTTGCCTTTTTCCAATCATTCGGGATCTCAACTTTTTAAAGAGAATGGCCAAAGGCTCCTCAATGACATTTGCCAACTCCCTCAGTACCCTTGGCTGTATTAAGTCCGGACCCATGGATTTATGTACGTTTTGCCTTTTTAAATAGTTCCTAACCTGTTCTTTCCCCACCAAGGGCTGTCCACCTCCTTCCCATACTGCGATGCCTAGTGAATTAGTCTGGGAGCTGACCTTGTTTGTGAAGACAGAGGCAAAGAAAGCATTGAGTACTTCAGCTTTTCCCACATCATCTGTCACTAGGTTACCTCCCTCATCCAATAAGGGCCCCACACCCTCTCTGATCACCCTCTTATTGCTAACATGCCTGGAGAAATCTTTCTTGTTATCCTTCACATATCTTGCGAGTAGCAATTCTAGTTTCCCTTTCGCCTTCCTGATAACTCTTCTGCATTCTCAAGCAATATATTTATACTCCTCCCTAGTCATCTGTCCAAGTTTCCACTTTTTGTAAGCTCCCTTTTGTGCTTAAGTTCACCAATTCGCTTCTCTTGCTGCGCATTAGGATGGTTTCTCTCTGTGCCTTCAATAAGGCTTCTTTAAAATACTGCCAGCTCTCCTGGGTTCCTTTCCCCTTCTTGTTAGCATCCCAGGGGATTCTGCCCATCAGTTCTCTGAGAGAGTCAAAGTCTGCTTTTCTGAAGTCCAAGATGTGTATTTTACTACTCTCTTTTCTTCGTAGTTCTTGGACTGGGCCAGGGCCTCCAATTCTTCCTGTTTGTTACCCAACGTTCTTGCATTGGTGTACAAACACCTTAGATAACCAGTTGATCTCCCTACCCTCTCCATTCGAATCAGGGGTTCTCCTTTGTTGCTCGTTCCTCTTTACATTTCTTCCTGGTATCGAACTTCCCCACTCCCCTCAGGGTTTTGGTCACCGTCCCCCAACAAACCTAGTTTTAAGCCCTCCTCACGAGGTTTGCAAGCCTTGCCCGAGAAGATGCTCCTTCCTCTCTTTGTTAGGTGGATCCCATCTCGTCCTAACAATCCTTGTGCCTAGTACAGAGTCCCATGGTCAAAGAAACCCCAGCCCTGTCTGCAACACTACTTGTGCAAACACGCATTTAATTCCTCAATTCGACAGTTCCTACCCAGTCTTTTCCCTTCAAGAGGGAGGATGGACAAGAACACCACTTGCGCTCCGAATTCTTTGATCCTTCCTTCCAACTCTACGTAATCTGCAGTAACCCGCTCAAGGTCATTCTTGGCCATATTGTTAGTTCCCACATGGAGAAGCAGGAAGGGGTAGTGATCCAAAGGTTTGATCAGTTTTGTAAGCCTCTCAATCCCATCCATTCGAGCTCCCGGTAAGCAGCACACCTCTCGAGATTCCAGGTCCGGACGGCAGATGGATGGCTCAGTCCCTCTTAGGAGGGAGTCCTCAACCACCACCACCCGCCTTCTTCTTTTGGGGGGGGTGGTCTTGGAACCCATATCCCTAGGACTACACATCCCATGCCTTCCACTAGAAGTGGTTCCTTTCCAATTTCTTCCTTGTGAGGTCCCTTCCAAATCATTCACCATCGCGGAGTGCGTGGAGAGAGCCTGAAAGCGATTACTTACCTCTGTAGAAATGGGGGATTCCTGTGCTGGACTTTTTTTTCCTTCTAGAAGTTACATGCTGCTTTTCCTAGTCCTGTACTGCCCCCTCTGACTCTTACGCCTGCCTTGCTTGCAGGATTAAATGCTGCCTTCTATCGAGGAAGTCTTCATCCTCTCTGATCGAGCGTAGGGTCGACACTTGGGACTCCAGTCCTCTAATTTTTTCCTCCAAAATGGCGACTGGCTTACACTTAGTGCAGATGAAATCCCTTCTTTCTTCCAGGAGGGAGACAAACATGGCACATGCTGTGCAGGTAACAACAGCAGACCTATCACTATCTCCTAAAAAGAGTTTAAAGAAAATGCAAGAGTACCTTGTCCCCTTCCATACTCCCTCTCTAAACTCCCTGTTTGCAATCACCTGTTCACAAGCTCTCTGCCTGCTGATTCACTCCTTTATTAAGTCCTGGACTGTCTGATAGTCCCTCCCCCTACCAAGGCTCAGCCAATCAGCAGAAGCTTCTAGATTTCAAATTTTAATTAGAAGCCAACAGTTTCCAGTCACAGCACATACTCTGTGGCGGGGGAGGGGGAGGGTAAAGGGGAGAAAAGAAAAAACACCCACCACACTCACAAATACACACTCAGCGCACAGCAAGAAAGCCCCAAACACAACACACACTACAGACAGCAACCTCAACTACCCACCCGGAGAAATAAAAAAGAAAATTGAAAAAGCCAAACGGATACCTAGAAACCGTCTACTACAAGACAGACCCAAGAAAACCAACAATAGAACACCACTTGTCATCACCTACAGCTCCCAACTTAAACCTGTCCAACACATTATCAATAAATTACAGCCTATACTGGAACAGGACACTAAACTCCAAGAAGCTCTGGGAGACAGACCCATAGTCTCCTATAGACAACCACCTAACCTCAAGATGATTCTTACCAACAACCACAGGACATACCACACTAATACCAACCCTGGTACCTTCCCTTGCAACAAACCCCGTTGCCAGCTTTGTCCACATATTCACTCTGCTGACACCATTATTGGGCCTAACCAAGTGAGTTATAAGATCAAGAACACATATTCCTGCGCATCCAGAAATATAATCTATGCTATCATGTGCCGAAAGTGTCCGTCTGCTATGTACATTGGACAAATGTCTCAGACACTTCGCCAAAGAATCAATGCCCACAAAATAGACATTAGACAGGATCACAAAGAAAAAACAGTTTCTTGCCATTTCAACCAGAAAGGACACTATCTCAATGACCTAATCACATGCATCTTACTTCAGAAGACTTTCAAATCTGCACTTGAAAAGGAATTCTCTGAACTGGCATTCATGCTAAAATTCGACACTCTCCGCGGGGGGCTGAACAAAGACCCCAACTACCTTACCCATTACAAAGATAGCTTCCCCAATTATCACCTCTAATACCATTAACTCACAGACATCTACCCTTCCCCACCTCTAATATCATTAACTCACAGGCATTTACCTTCCTTTCCCCCCCCTCCATCCCCTTTCTGTTCTGAAATGTGATTTGTCCTTTTCATATGCGTTCATTTTTTTTATTGTATCCTTTCGTATATATGGTTTTGACTATTTTCTTCCACTATTTGATCTGAGGAAGTAGGTCTGGCCCACGAAAGCTCATCATCTAATAAACCATCTTGTTAGTCTTTAAAGTGCTACATAGTCCTGTATTTTGTTTCAGCTACACCAGACTAACACGGCTACATTTCTATCACTATTCTACAGACAGCACCTTCCCTTGAGTCCTGTAGTCACTTCTCCCTTACCTGGAGAACTCCCTCTCTAAACTCCCTGTTTGCAATACCTGTTCGTTGTTATTGTTTAGGAAGAATCACCTTCCCCCGTATTTGAAAATTGTATAATTCAGCACTTTCTCTTAACTAATTAATTAGATTTTTCCTGGTACACAATAGCTTTGTTTCTCATCTTAAATATGAAATTCATAGCTATGGGATGTATATATTTAATTAAAACCTATATTTTCATACTCTTTTAAAGATAAATATATTGTTTCATATCCTGCAATACAGGTTCCTAAGCAGGAATCACTGAATAACTTTTCTGCAAATATTCACACGTTACAGCTGATTTTAGAAGAGTCTGCACGTTTATTAAAACTTCTCTGGAGAGTTTCACTTCCTATGAAAGTTGTCCACAATACTGCTCGCTGCAATCAGGTACAGTGTTGTTTGTGTGAAGGCAAAAGCAATGAACCGTTCAGAGATTGTCCTGAAAGTTACATAAGATTGTCATACATGATTCATGAACTACTTTGGAAGCAGATATGGTCAAGTTGTGGCTACATTATCACCTATGGCGAGTTTCAGACTAAATGTTCTCTTGATCTGAGCCTCCTTGACTTAACACTAGAATGAAACAATGCATGCTCTAGATTTTGCCCGCGGAGGTCCTGCCACTCTCCCGCCTCCGTACCCTGCACCCCCATCCGCCACCAGACATGACTCTCAGCCAACAAGTAGAACAGAAGGTTTATTCATTGATAGGGACACACCATAGCACAGACTCATTGTTACAGGAACCAGGAGCAGTCAGTACAATCCATCTTGGGGATACGAGGGCCCAGAGCCAGGGGGGCCCTTCCTGGCCTCCCAAGCCCGCTAGTCTCCCTTCTCCCTAAGCCAGCCCAAAACTCAACTCTCACACCCAGCAACTGGTCCCAGCTGTCTAGGCAGCTGTGTTCAGATTTCCTAGCCCCGGGTGTTATCTGACTATCACTGGTTGTATCTTCCTTCTAGGGCAGGGGTGGGCAAAAGCCTCTCAGCAGGCCGAATTTGGCCCGCCAGGCAGTTCCAGGCCCTGTCTCCTAGTGCAGGGGTTGGCAACCTATGGCATTTTTCAGTGCCATGTGGCAGGGAGCTCAGCCCCGTGTCCCCCCTCCTCCTGTGCAGCTGCTGGAGAGCGCTTCCTCCCTGCAACAGGTTAGGCTGTGTTGGGACAAGGCAGCGCTGTGATTGAGGCTCCTTAGCAGCGCCTCAGCCAGGACCGGAAGCGCCGCTGCCATGGCCACATGATCTGGGTCCGGCCCTGGAGGAACTACTGCTGTGGCCACGCGGTCCAGGGCTGTGGGGCCGTGGCAGTGGCTTCTCCGGGACTGGCCCCAGATCACATAGGCTGCAACCTCGGGACCTCTAGGGCCAGCCCCAGACCACAGTGGCAGCAGGGCCTCTGAGGTGGCCCCAGACTGTGTCAACAGTGGCAACCGGGCCTAGACGATGTGGACCCCAGCAGTGGGACCTCCCTCCAGGGCGGCCAGGACAGCGTAGCTGCAGCAGTTGCTGCAAGGGGGTACAAAACCAGTAAGGTCCCTCCTCATGCCCAAACACCCTCCTATCCCCTTACTTTCCTCCCCCTTTCTCCCAAGACTTGGCACCCCCAGCTTGATACCCTCCTTTGTTCCTGCACCCTTTCTCCTGGCCAAACACCCCACTCTGCACCTTCATCTGCGTTGCTCCTGCACCCTCTCTCCTGGCCACACACTGCACCCTCCCTTGCTCCTGCTACCTCCACCTGGCCAGACACCTTACTCCCAGCCTTCTTCTGCACTGCACCCATTCCTGTCCTACCTATTGGCACCTCTGTCTTGTGCACTGTACCCCTTATTTTTTACCCTGCCTAAGAGCCTAAGAAGGTCCATAAAATTCACTAACTTCCCTTCCGCTCACCCCAGGAATCTGGGGCACCAGAAGAGTGAGGTATCTCAGTTGTGGCCACATCAGTGAGTGTGTGTGTGTTGGAGGAATTTTTTTTCTCTCACTTGTGTGGTCCCCAACTGATTTTTCTGTGTCAGTGACCCCTGACCCAAAAAAGGTTCCCTACCCCTGCCATAAATAAATAAAACATGGGAATCTTTAGTGTTGGACATAATATTTTACTTTATTTAAAATGATGTTTGATAAACTAACATGAGAGAGTTAAAACACTTAATCTTTCATCATTTAAATTAAACCGTTCTCACTAGCTGCAGTTGGTTCAGAAAATAAGGTCACTGTGCCCAGCCTGCCCTTGCCTCCCCTCTGCCCTTCTTCTCCCGGCACAGAGATTCATGAGTAAATTAAATCTCGGTACACCGCTTCTGAAAGGTTGCCAAAGCTTGCACTAAAAGGTAAGTTCTGCATCTTCATTTATTTATTAATGAAGCTGCTGTAAGTAGGACTATTATTGACTTTAAAAAGTATCACCAGCCCTCGGACCTGCTCAGAGGCAAATAAGTCAAATCTCGGCACTCCACCTCTGAAAGGTTGCTGATCACTGCCCGAGCACGTTGCCTGGGAGCCGGAGATCCGCGAGCCCTTTCAGCTGCTTCTATTTAAAGGGCTTGTACTTGCTGGGCGGCTGCGTTGCCTGGCAGCCACTGGGCAGGTACAAGCACTTCAAACCGAAGCAATTGAAAGGGCTTGCAGCTCTCGGTCCCACTGGCCCGTTGTCTGGGAGCTGCCCGGGAGGCACGAGCCCTTTCAACTGTTTCTATTCTTTGGGCTTGTGCCTGCCAGGCTGCTGCTGAGGCAACAAGTTAGCAGTTGGGCCAGGAGCTGCCAGCCATGTTACGTGAAATCTAAGCCTCCACCCCAGACAACCATGGGAGGAGACTAGCCCCCGGCACCCTCTCCTTTGCTCCAGGTCCCTTCCATCGGCCAGAAGTCGGGACAGGGACCCCAGGCCAATTTCTATTCTTTGGGCTTGTGCCTGCCAGGCTGCTGCTGAGGCAACAAGTTAGCAGTTGGGCCAGGAGCTGCCAGCCATGTTACGTGAAATCTAAGCCTCCACCCCAGACAACCATGGGAGGAGACTAGCCCCCGGCACCCTCTCCTTTGCTCCAGGTCCCTTCCATCGGCCAGAAGTCGGGACAGGGACCCCAGGCCAAGCAAAGTTCTGGGAAGAATAGTTCTCAACCCCACCCCTTCCACACAAAGCCCCACCCCTTCCACACAAAGCCCCACCCCTTCCAGGGAAGCCCGTG